ACTTTGGTACAAAGTAGGTTGGACTACTTCCTCACTAGTCAGTCTGTGCTAAATATTACAATCGATGCAAAAATTATCCCATGTGTGCACTCTGACCACTGTGCTATATCACTAAGTATTAAATATGAGGAATGCAGTCGGGGCCCTTCATATTGGAAACTAAACACAAGTTTGCTGCGAGGTGGAGATTACTTAAGATTAATTGAGGATAAAATTCCAAAGTGGATTGAGGAAGGGGGGGCCATTCAGGACCATCGGATTTTATGGGATTGGTTAAAGTTTTGTATAAAGAGGTCAACTATAACTCATAGTAAAGAAAAAAGTAAAAAACAAAGAGAGAAAATCCTTCAAATGGAAAAGAAACTAGCAGAATTGGAGGGTGAGATGGGATACAGTCCAACAAACGATTGTATAAATAACTATGCATTAACAAAACAATCCCTTCAGAAAGAATATGATGACATCGCAGAGGGACAGATCATTAGATCACGAGCTAATTGGCACGAATTAGGGGAGAAAAACTCCAGATATTTTCTGCAACTTGAGAAAATGAATGCCAAGAGATCACAAATTACCAACCTTTTAAATACAAATGGATCAGAAATCCCGGCCCAAGAAATAAATAAACAAATCAAATTCTATTATGAAAAACTGTACGCCTCCACCCTAAAAACTGATATTGATTTTAACACGCAATCCACTTTTCTTCAAAACCCTTACATACCAAAATTGACTGAGGACCAGGCTCAAATATGTGAGGGACCCCATCTCGCTCTTCAACACTGATTATAAAATTGGAACAAAGTGTTTGGCCAAAAGGCTAGAAAAAGTTCTCCCAGATGTAAAAAAAAAAAAAAGTACTAGGGCACATGCAAAGGATGAACGGAATCGGTCCGAAGGATTCTGAAATATGACTCCGCACAGACGAACGGACGGATGGAGACCGAATTATAAGTCCCTGTTTTCGGACTTTGTCCGAACGGGGACTAATAAAAGGTGGAAAGGTAGAAAAAGGCTTTTTGTTGGCGTTTTTTTGTTACAGAGAGGCATCTATGCTAGATCAAGTCCTTATATAGTAAGGTGTCACGTCGGGGGCGATGCAAAAATTAACAATCATTTTTGGGCCGCCCCCCCCCCATTTTGGGGTCAAAATTCAAAAATGGTATCGCTGTTGGTTATTCATTTTAGTCCATGCCACAATAGTTCTTTAGGAGATATACTCCGAGTAGGCAAGTCCGCAGGGTTTTGCGTAGTTGGAATATATATTTGTATCCTTGTTTGGAAGAATTGGTTTCCCTGACTCGATTCTTTGTAAATACATCTTGCTTTCCCCCTCCATTCACCTAAAGTAAGGTATTGTGCGAGTCCGACCAGAGTACGTGGTTAGTGGTCGTGTATTTATTCAATAGTGTTTTCGTTACAAATTGGCTTCTGGCGATGACAGCACGAGGTAGTGTCTGACGGATATTTGGTGCGACTTTGGATTTTGCGATAACAAGCGTAGTTCGATGATAAATCACACCACAGTAAGCCTTTTTCGAGAAATAACGTCTATAATGTTGGTGACTTGGTGCAGGTCTTCAACAATCTTATTTCATACAATTAATAGTTTACTAGTGATTTACTTATCCCAGTTATGGTTGGACAGCCACAGAGTATAGTTTAGCTTCAATAAGTACCGGAGAATATAAACCCAGTGGGTCATAGATGATACGTTTTGAATCATTATTATTAATGTCCGTCAGCCACAGAAATTTCGTAAATTCGCTGGATCTGCAGAAAAGCTTTTTCTATATCTTCAGTCAGTGCAATCGGATTCGATCAAAATCTGGTTAGTATTAGATTAAATACGAGTTAATTTTTGCATCAATAGACTTTGCAAAATGAGTGATGAAACTGCGGTTGACGCTTCGTCAAAAAGTACCGTAGTTTGAGCTTGTTTCCTGTTGTGAAAAGCATTTTTAACAGTATTCTACGCCGTGTGGGGTCAGGTTTTTTCTGGTTTTGTCTTGAGAGGAATCAGGTGAAGTGTGTGAGAAATTAATACTCACTGCAGACGTGGGTTTAGAAGCAAATAGAGTTGAATCGAAAGTGTCCGAGTGCAATGATGTATGATGTTTACCCTTTCATTGTTTATAAGCGTACTGTGAAAAGTTTGTTACGCTTCACATAGTTATGGCAGTCGTTACGGGGTGGTATAGTTTGACAGTTCATCTATGCCTGTCATCCTTTGCAATATACACAGACTCGTTGAGTATATCTTGAGTTGGCCGGTTGATAGGTAGATTCATTTCAGATTCAGCTCCGAGAGAGTTCACCCGCGTAACGGTAGTGACCGAGTTGAAAGTATGGTTATCATGTCTGACACTCACACACTCATGTATTTCTTGTAGCATGGCCTTGTTGAGAGAATCTACTGTTCAGTTTTGGTCACCTTTGGAACATGCCATTTATATTGTAAAAAGCAACTGGAAGTATTGATACTATAATTAATAGTTTCTCGTACATCTTGAGACCTTTTAATGCTCTCACTGTAGATTCGATTTCGTCGTGGTATTCTCTCAAGGTGACTACATTATAATCCGGAGTGGCTCGGGACCACGGGGATGACACGTGGGCTTTAATAATTTCCTGGGATTGACCATATCTTTTGTTGAACAGGTCGAATGCTAGTTTGTAATTGTCAGCGGATGTAGGAAAGTCATCTATTAATTTATTAGCCTTGCCGTCTACAAAACTGCAGAGATGGGCAAACTTCTGATTGACAGATATTTTGTATATATCAATGTGGACACAACATTTTATTCTATTGCATAAATAAATGGTGTATATATTATTGTTTCTTTTAGATTTTAATTGAAACAAAGTGAACTATTACACTTTTGAATACCACCAGACGTGATTTAGTGGTCATTCATATATTTGTGTTAAACCCCGTTTTTTTAATATAATTTGTCAATTTGTGGCAATTTTATATTGGTATGATCGGTAGACCAGTGATAACTTCTACCTGTATCGAACTATGTAGGGGAGGATGCCACGCACTCGGTAGAAAATTATTCATGAATGCTACATTCAGTAATTAATGTGATTTAGATGAACCATAGTTGAGGTCACAAGGTGTCTTCCATTTCACGTTGACACTAGTATAGTATTTAATTTGTCATTGTGACAAACATGTCTCGCATAGAGGGGTCATATGTTGCTGCTACAAGAATGCTTAGAGGAGTGGATGAAACTACTTGATGTAGAAATAACCAAAATAAATAAATAAACTGTCAGGATATGTGACACTGGTAAACGCTATGACTCAACGCAAAGTGTTGTAAATTAGGTCGATGCCATGTAACGTCCAGATCAATGAACAGCCTAAAGAGAGACTACGGTCATTAGTTTCCACCAATGACTCAACAAAAGGGAAACGCAGTCGCGGATCTAGGGGGGTTCTTAACCCCCCAACACCACCACCCCCCCACCCCCCCACCCCCGTCGAAAAAAATAGTCAATTTTTTTGTATAATATAAACAAATCATTAACTTAGTCTGGAGATGTTAAAGTTTTGACACGCCTCCCATAAACAAATCCTGTATCCGCTTCTGAAACCATGGTCTTTTGTTTCTACTCATTGAGTCCTGCAGTTGGAAAGAGCTAAAAACAATTAATATTTACTGACTCAGTAATACAATGCCAGTATGTCGACACACGCTAACGACAGATACAAGATGGTGATAGTAGTCCGATTCTTACTGTGCTTCTCTAAATGTAGTGGTTCGTAATACAGTTTTTGTCACTTCTTGTTGCTAATACAATCAA